CCATCTTATTTCCAAAGTTATCATGACAACTCTAAATACTTTCTAGTGGCAAAAAACCTGGCATCATTAACCAGGGCTCCTTGGAGACACAGTTGAGTCCAAGGCTGGGGCAAAGAAAATACGAGATAAGCCTGGAATCTCTTGTGGTGCCAGAAAGTAAGGAAGTGCTTTAAAAATGATGGGGTTGAAAAGGTACCAGAACTCACCTGAAGGAGCACCCCAGGGCCAAGGCTGGAACAACAGGACCATCAAACAAATAATGACAATTGGGAAACCCATAAAGTAAAATAAATACCCATGAATCTTACATTGATATAAATAAATACTTGAATAAGTAAACGGGAGAGAAGGGACAGCTCTTCCTTAGAGTAGAATGCCAACTAATAAATACAGAAGTGATGAAAACAGAAAATCATCACTAGGCAAACATCACAATAATGATTATTGCAGGCAAGAACCATTAACAGATGTGAAAGTTAGTGGATAAAAGAATGATGACAAACAGGGTAATTACACAGTATCAAAGTGTCTCCCCAGAAGACACTTATTAATTACCAAGGGGAAAATAGTAACTCTATAAAAGTGGAGAAGCCTGGTAGATCCCCCTAAACCAAGGGCAGCAGTAAGGAGACAGGCCAACATCATGCACTGCCTGACAGGAGGTCCTGCGAGGGCACATCACCTCTGTGGTTTCTTCTCTGAAAGGCATGACCCTCTATTTCTTCACCAGAAAATGACAAACAACCCTCCAATTAAGTGACATTCTATAAAATAACTAATCAGTATTCTTAAAAACATTTGAAAATTTTGTCATGAAAGACAAGGAAAGAGTTGAGGAACTATCTCAGATTAGTGCCCTGGTCCAGAGAAAGAACATAAATGGAAAAATGGAAAATTCAAATTAGGTCTGTAGATTAATAGCATTTTATCAATGCGAGTTTCCTGAATGGTTAATTGTAGCATGGTGTGTAAGATGTAATATCCAGCTGATAGGGGTGGGGAATTCTGTACGATATTTGCAACATTTTTGTAAGTGTAAAATTATTTCAAAATAAAAAGTTAAGAGAGAGAGACACATCCACACAAATCCCTTTAAAAGCCTGTTTTGAGTAGACTCCCTCCTTCCCCGGCCCTCCTGAGTCTGGCCCGCAGCCCTGAGTGGGCAGGAGGCTCTGAGGGTCAGCAGCTCCCTCAGGGCTGTGCGCTGGGCTTCAAGACCGAGGCCCAGAGGCCCTCTCTGCTCCAGTCACCTGCACGCATGCCCAGTGATCACGAGAGCACCTCCTTCCCACAGACACGCGTGTGAGGTTTCCAGCCCCCTGGGTGGGAGAGCATGAAAGGGCATCAGGATGTCGCAGGGCCTCCTGGCAGTGGGAGGAGAAAAACCCAGGAGCCAGAATGGTGGGAGATCAACGGTAGGACCTTGGAGCACTTGTTTTTCAGTTTCAAAACCACCAATTTTTTGTTGAACATTTACTTTGTGAGAAGAAAGCCTGCCAGCAATTGTCAAACAGAAGGGAAGGGTGGTGAGGGGGTAGGGGAAGTGTTGGGAAGAGGAGGAAGAGGAAGAGAAGGAGGAGGGAGAGGAGGGAGAGGAGGGAGAGGAAGAGGAGGAGGAGGAGGAGGAGGAGGGGGAAGAGGGGGGGAAGGAGGAGGAGCTCTGAGCAACAGCGGTTCGAGTCCGGCCCGAGCTGAGCTGCCGCTGAGCTGCCAACAGGTGGCAGGCAGGATGGCTCAGCTAAAAAAAAAACCAACAAAACACAACAAACCACTCAGACGGTTTCTAAAACTGTCTTCACTTTACTGCTTCCCAGACTCTGGAGTATATTGCAGGGATGATAATAATGATAAGCTCACTGTTTCGAGGGCTATATGCACAGTCCACCATGCTAACTACTTCATGTGTATTAATTTGTATAATACTAATAGCCCAAGGAGGCAGGGACCCTTATCCCCATTTCACAGGTAAGAAGACTGAGGCATAGAGAGTCAATTTACTTCTTAAGGGTGCACACCCAAACAAGTGGCAGAGCTAGGACTTGACCCCAGGCAGACTGGCCCCAGAGACTGTGGCTTAACACTGTACTATTCTGCATAGTCCCCAACTTTAGAAGCAGGGTCGCTGCTTCCCGACACCCTCCGCTGGCTCCCCTCACAGTGGGTTCTTCCCTGCTTTTTAAGGGTGATACACGGCTGGTCTGCTGAAACCGCCACAACTCTAACTTTCCTCTCTGCAGCTACTTCACGTTGTTTTCCTTTGAGTCGCTGCAGCTTTTAGCTCCCAAACGTCTTTCTCCCAGGCTGAGCCTGTTTGGCTCTCTGGGACACCTGTAGTCATTGTCAGAGCTCCCTTTGCAGTGATTTAATTACAAGCGGCCCTTTTCTCTGCAGAGGTCAGGGGCCAATGTCCCACCATCTCAGAGACTGTTCTTGCGCTTTGTTCCTCACACCTGTTCCACGCTCTGTCTCCTAAAGGGCACCTCCTCTCTATCCTAACACAGCCAGACACATTTTTTTTTCTTTCATTATTCATAGAATTGCAGAACTATGGGGCTGGGACGAACTTTGCAGATTATCCAGTGTCATTGCCCATTCTATTTTGTCTGAAAGAAAGAGGTGAGGCTCCTGTTTAAGTAGGACTAACAGGTGTTCACACAGCAGCAGACAAAAAACCCCATTGTTATTCTGTGGGTTATTGTAGAAAGACCTCAAATCCACCAGATAATAGAATATGCTACCCAGTAAAGAACATCTCTATGTCTAACGCAATTTTAAAGTCATAGACTGTTGTCCTAGGCTCTGTCGATACTATAAATTGCTAAAAGCCATTCCAAAAATCACTTCCACACTCCCTGAGCTAATCTGGGAAGCACTTTTATCACATATGACAAGGTCCTCTGAGCCTGGCTCACGATAACTAAATTAGATTCCAGGCTCTCGGTATCCTCAGCCACATGATCAAAACTGATAGCTCACCCGGAACACGGCCATTGCAGCCCCTTGTGCTCATTTATACTAGGACGTCACATATGCTGCTTGTTGGCAGGAGCTGCAGCTCTTCATCAGCTGCCTAAAGCCTCGGCGCCACAGCCAGCAACTACTCACAGAAGCCCACGCTTTCCTTTTCCTTCCAAAGCCCTTACTAGGGCGAGTCAGGTCCTGTCTCTCCATCTAGCTGCTCAACAGGCTTCTGTTTTCAGCCACCACCTAACACCCATCACAGAGGGGTGCTGCTCGGGGATCACGTGGAGACGCTGCTGCTCTTGGGAACACCCATGTTATTAGTGAGAACTTAGAAAAACATGACGCCTTCTCTGCCTTTCTTTCCCCTGCTTTTAAAAGAAATATATGCCCATTTAAAAGAAAACAACAACCCTCTGTTCAGAAAAGTACAAAGCAGAAAATAAAAGCCCACTACTGCCCCCAGAGATAACGACCATGACCAACCTCAGGCCTTGCTCTCTGCAGACTACAGAGCCTGGCGATCTCTCTCCTCAATCCCCAGTACCCATTCCTGGGGCCCCTGGGGCAACTGCCTGGCTTCCATCACCTACCATTTGCCCTTTGGTGTTCCCAGGATGCTGCACTCTCCCTAGTCATCCCTCTGCCTCCTTCGCTCCATCCCTCTACTTGCCCGGCCTCTCTGTGCAGGAGTGTGGCAGGGCTCAGGGCTGGTCCTCTCCTCTCCTCTGTCCACACTCCCTTCCTTAGGGAGCTCATCCACTATCCTGGCTTTAAGGACTGTCGAGCCAAAGGCTCCCAACGTGACTGTCCAGTCCGGACCTCTCTTTCTTTCCAACTCCAGAAGCATGAGACTTACTTGCCTACTCCATATCTCCATTTGGCTGTCTAATGGCAGTTAAAATTCAACATGCTCAGAACTGAGTTCCAGATCCTCCTCCATGAACCTGCTCCGCCTTTCTCATAAACTGTAAAGCCATGCTGACTCATCCCTTTCTATTATACTTTACACCCAATTCATCAGGAATTCCTGTTGGCTCTTCTTACAAAATAGATCCAAGATCTGGCCACTTGTCACCCCTCCACTGCCACCATGCAGGCCCCAGCCACACTCAGGTCTCACCTAGAGGACTACAAAAGCCTCCTGGGCGGTCTCCTGCTCCCACCCTTGCCCACACCTACAGTCTACATGGAAGCCCGAGTGGTCCTTTGAAAATATAAGTCAGGTCATGTTCCTCTTCTTTGCTCAAGACCCATTTAGGGATCCCCTTCCACTCAGAGTAAAAGCCACGGTCCTTACAGTGTCTGCAAAGTCCTCCGTGATCTGGGTCCCCTGTCACTCCTCTGGCCTCACCTCTTCCTGCTCTTCCCCTGGACCACTCTGCTCCAGGCCACACGGGCCACCACCACGCTGCTGCCCTACCGCCTGTGCCATGGCTGTCCCCTCGGCCTGCACGTTCTTCCCCCAGAGGTCCATATGGCTGGCTCCCGCACCTTCCCTAAGCCTTTGCTCCAATGTCGTCTTCTCACTGAGCCTTTCCTGACTACTTTATTTGAAATTGCAACCTGTCCTTTCCCCTCCATCTAATAATCCCTTTATCCTGCTCTACGTTAAAACTTCTTTTTTCTTATCACCTTCGAAAATTCTTTTAAATGTACTATGCTTTTGTTTAGTGTAAGTCTACTCCTAACTAGTATGTGAGCTCTGCCTGTTTTACTTTCCAACATATCCGACATCATCAATGACGCCTAGCATGTGGCAGGCGTCCAAAAACGCTTGTCAGTGAATGAATGACAGGCCCTTAGGTCTGCCCAGCAGCTCTGCAGCCTTCCTGGCACTGAGACCCTCTCAGATTGAAGAGCTCTGGGCCCCACTGACTTCCTGCCAGCTGGGAGTGGCAGCTTCTTCTGAATCCCCCTTCTCCTTCCCCTTCCCAACCAGGTACCTGTGGTGGCACCTTCTGTCTGTGCAGCCCCACTAATGGGGTAACTCACTCTGCCGTTCATCCCCAGCCCAGGCTGAGCTCCTGCCCACTCACCTGGAAGTCCTCCTCATCCAAGATCTCTTTCCTCCACTTGATCAAGAAAGCTGCACACACGTAGAGGTGAAAGTGAGAGAAGCCTTCTGGTTCCGACTGGGAAGGCAAAAACACAGAGTGAGGGCTGCAAACCCTGACAAGGAGCTGGCTCTGGTCCTCTTAGTTCCAATCCTTCTGCAAGGTGGGAAAGCCACATAGCACCCCTTTCATGGCTGGACAAACAGAGGCCTGCACAGCAGAGGCTCCACCCATGAAGCTAAGGCAGGTGCAGAATTAGACAGGAGGTGGTGGTGGGGGTGGGGGGAACTTCTGAGCAGCTACACTCCACTGCGGGCAGAAAATAGGTGCACAGGGGCAGCACAGCGGGGAGAGGCAGCGGTCTCTCCTACCTGGTACGTGTCCCACAGGCGGATGGTGCAGCGGAGAGGAAGTTCCCGCATCAGCAGGTTGTTCATCCAACGAAAGGCAAACTGTAGGTATTCGACCTCGTACCTCCTGAAGTGATTATGTACCTGCTCTGAAACAGGAAGTGTCGTTGGCCCTGGGAGCACCAGCTGGGGGATCAGGCCTTGAAAACTCACATGAGCCAAAGGGCTGTTTCCTTTTCTTTTCACCTCCTGCCCCTGGGGAAGCCGGACGAGGGGCCATACCGGCTTCCGACTGTCCTTATGTTTATCTCACAGCAACACCGCATGGTTAACTCAGCCCGCGCACACAACTATTTTAACATCCCATAGTGATGTCCTAGGTGTCTTTCTTCCTTCACAGAGCTGCTCTAGCCACAAAGCAGGAGATACCGTGTTTCCCCGAAAATAAGACTTGACCAGAAATAAGCCCTAGCATGATTTTTCAGGATGCTCGTAATATAAGCCCTACCCCAAACATAAGCCCCAGTTAAGATCGCCAGCCAGACATGACTGTTTGAATAAATGTAGATTTTTGTACATGAATAAATGAACAAATGTAGATTGTTGGAGCAAAAATTAATATAAGACCCGGTCTTATTTTCGGGGAAACACAGTATAAGGTTCAGTATTACTCATCGGAGAAGGAGCCAGAGCGGGAAAGAACTGGGGGTCACCTTGGCCACCTTCCTGCTGGTGAGGGTTTCCTCTTCAGCATCCCTGACAGATGGCAGCCAGCAGGGACTTAAACCCTGCCAGTGAAAAGGCTCGCCAGCTCCACTCAGGGCCGCCTCCGTCACCGCAGTATTAAGGGAGGGATGCACTAGAAAGCGCTTCGCCACATTCAAAGAAACCAGCTCCCTCCTCACTCCTACCTAATGGTGTTTGGGTGATATTCTAGAACAACCCCAAAACAAACCTGTTCCCTGTTCTACATGACAGCCCTTCAAATAACACTTAATGGGTTTAAAAAAAAAATCACCACCCTCTTCAATTTCCTAATCTATAAAATGGAGATAATCATTCATACCTTGGCAGGTTTGGGAGAGGATAAAATGAGAAAATAAAAGTGCTCACAACAGCACTTGGCATGTGGTAAATATTTACTACAAAATTTGAAAGACTAACTATTAACAATGGTTATTTCTGGGATGTAGAATTTAAGGAAGGGGGAGGATTTTTACTTTTTATTTTTCTGAATCGTTTAAAATTTTGTAATAAGTAATACCTGTATAATTCAAAGAATAAAGATATATGCACTCAAATATCCACTTCCCTAGAGAACTATACCTTTATTTATCAGGTATGTGTGAGGGCAGAAACTTCAAGGGGAGAGCAGACAGTGGCAGAAACCACAGCCTCTGGCCTCTAGAACCCAATTGACGACCAGCCTGTCAGCCCGCTTAGCGCCCCTGCCACGCGCCCTGTACCAAGACCCAGGTGAGGGACGCAAGACACCTACATGTGGGCCCCGCATGGGGCTAACAGCTGGGTCAGGGTGATCAGAGGAAAAAAAAATCCACGTATCATAAAGGAAACAACTGCAAATAAGCAAATGAGCTGGGAAGATTGAAATCCTGTCATAAAAGGAAGCTGAAGTGACTGGAACAAATCAGGGAAGGTTTTCATGGAAAGAAAACCTGGGAAAGGAGAAAGAAAAAAAAGACAAGGCTTGCCTAAAGCAGAATGTCCATGACTGCGAAAACCAGGGAATGAGATGGACTATTTGGTGTAGTAACTGGTGAAGTTCTAAAGAAGCTTCACAACTTAACTGGTGCTAGAGATCCCCTTTAACAGACCTCCCTGTTAGGTTCTACGTGTTCTTCGTGAAACAGCTCTGACTCCTCTCTCTGGAGCTCAGTTTCTCCATCGGTCAAGCACAGGCTTCCCGAGTTGCCTTTTAGTCCTAACATTCCATTATTCCAAGTCGGAGCCAAAGGCTTTCTGTAAGGCTCCTGTTTCTCAGACATTCTGCTTCAGGAAGAGCCCCGTCTCATCTCCTCAGGCCCAAACAGGTCATAGGGGGCTCTGGGAAGTCCTGCTGGGGTATCAGCCAGACTTGAGGACCCTGCGTCAAGCCCAGGAGTCCTGAGTTGCAGCACCACTTGGAGGACAAGGCCGGACTAAGACGATGCTAAAAGCAATGGAAGGCCACAGGATGCTTCAAAGCAGAAGGGATGTGACCAGAACAATGCTTTAGAAAGATGCAGTTGGGACCCGCCGAGTGGCGTGTTGGTTAAGAGCTGGCTTGAGACACCAGAGGGCCTCGGTTCAGATTCCACATATGAGGGCCAGTGACACTGCCCTCTACAGCTAAGATACTGAACAACAGCTCTATCTGGAGCTGGGCTGCCCGTGAGTCACCAGAGGAGGCGTAGGCTGCAGCCCCTGCTGCAGTGGGTTGCCATGGGCTACCGTGTGTAGCCAGCAGCCGCCGTGAGCAGCCATCCAGAAGCCGGTGACTGGTCTGCCTCACCCGGGAAGAGCGCAATGATGGTGCCAACTTGGGCCAGTGAAGCAGCGTACTCCACAACTAGACTGAAGAACAAAAGGACAGCAACTTGTCTGTTCCCCTTCCCCCAATTCCCCAGCGCTGTTCCCATCCCCCAATTCCCAAATAAAAGTTAAAAAAAAAAAAGAAAGAAAGATGCAGTTGTGTGATAGGAGGTTTAGAAGAGGAAA